GAAAGTAAGCAGCACATTGAGATTTTTACGGATTTTTTTTCAGTACATCTCACTCTGAGGCATCATTTGAGCTTTAACTTCTCCCCTTCCACGGTGAGACATCCCCAGCTCCTGGCATCTCGCCAGCCCGGCTCTTATTGATGGAGCAATTTTGCCACCTTATTTTCAGAAGTGATTTCCAGGAGATGTTTTTTGGGAAGCGTTATCCCCTGCCAGTGCCCATGGGWGCAGCTGGAATTCCTCAGGGAAGAACAACCTCCTCCCTCACCTGGGGGTTTATCCTGCACTACCAATTAAGGGCTGGTTTTAATAAGCAAARTGTGTGCTCAGCGATTGTAATTAAAGTCTGGTAAAGGGAAAAGAAATCATTAAATATTTAAATCAGTTACACAGTTAATGGTGCCATTAATGTTTCTCAGGACCTGGCTCCCCCGCTGCCTCGGACACCTCTGCAGGTTTTGGGGAAGGGTTGGAGCAGAGATGAGCTGGGGGTTGTTCAACACCTGCTCCATGTGGGAGGGGATGAAAAACTTTCCTGGTGTTGCTCATCAGCCAAACCAGCCCTGGGTGTTGTTGTTTGGGGAGTGAGAGAGGGAAGGAGAGAGATCCSTGAACTACAGACTGGTTTGGGTTGGAAGAAATCTTTTAAAAGCCATTTAGTCCAACTCCTGCCATGGGCACCTTCCACTGTCCCAGGGTGCTCGAAGCCCTGTCCAGCCTGACCTTGGGCGCTGCCAGGGATCCAGGGGCAGCCACAGCTTCTCTGGGCACCCTGTGCCAGAGCCTCACACCTTCACAGGGAAGGATTCCTTCCCAAAATCCAACCAAAACCTTCCCTCCTTCAGTTTGAAGCCATTCCCTGTATCCTGTCCCTCCATTCCTCGTTCCCCAGTCCCTCTCCAGCTCTCCTGGAGCCCCTTTAAGCCCTGCAAGGGGCTCTGAGCTCTCTCTGGATCCTTCTCCTCTCCAGGTGATCACCCCCAGCTCTCCCAGCCTAGCTCCAGCCCTGGAGCAGCTTCGTGGCTCCTCTGGATTCTCTCCAGCAGCTCCACGTCCTCCTTGTGCTGAGCCTCTTTGCTGCCTCCTACACTACAGGAAATTTCGGAGTGTTTTGCCATCGGGAAGCTTTCCTCTGACTTCCATAATCCATCTAACCCCAGGAAACCTCATCACTCTCCCAGGAAGCTGCAGTTCCCTGCCAGCAGCGAGGCAGCGGAGCTGGCACTGCCTTCAGCCTGCAGCAGCTCTGAGTGATGGGAAGGAACCTGTGCTGGGCCAAGGRAAACTGATTCTGGAAAACTTGGCATCAAAATGGTCAAAAGATTCAMAAACTTGAAGGTCTGGCTACAGGCACAAAGCATTTCCTGGATCCCTGAGATAAAAAATGGGCAAACATGCCACCTCTGTTCAATTAARTCGATCACCCATAATAATTTGGCATTTTTCCTTGCAGGGAGAAGACCTCAGAAACAGATGGGAAGAGTTTTCAACTTCCTGAGCTCCTGAAACTGTGCTTGGAGCAAATGACATCACCAGTAAGAAGCTCTGAAAGTTGTTCTGGGAGGCAGAACTCTGGGAGACCTGGAACCTTCCCAGGCACGTTGCCAGCATTCCTGAGATGGTCCTGGCACTGGAGAAAGGAGTGAGCTCAGCACCTCTCCTGCTGCCAGGAGCTGTCCCTGGTACAGAGGAATCAGATGTGCTGAAAGCTCTGCACGGCCTGAGGGAACGGGATCACTGGGAATGCGGATTTCAAGGTCAGAAATGCGAATTTCAAGGTCAGAAATGCGAATTTCAAGGTCATAAATGCGGATTTCAAGGTCGGGAATGCAGATTTCAAGGTCAAAAATGAGGATTTCTCCTGTCAGCCAAGAGCCCATCCGTTCCAAATGATGGAGGAGGAGGAGGAGGAGCAAGGTGATTGGCTGCTGACAGGATGAATTATGAGCTGCCAATGTCTTGGAGTAATGAAAAGGCAGCTCCAAGCCCTGGCTGCATCCACTGAGGTGTTCCCATTGGGCATGGGGGGAGTGTTCCAGCACAGTGGGTTCCACAGGAACATCAGAGGTTCCACACAGGGATAAGGTAGTAACTCCAGGCACGAGAAGAAACATTTCCAGAGCTGAAGCGGCTTTCCCACATGGTAGTGGGAAATTTCCCACATTGCATCAGACACCTCTGGGAATGCTCTGGTGCTCCCACCCCTCTCCTCAGAGCAGCCCTGAGCCTTTGTCCACTCTCTGATTTGTCTCTCCAAGGAGTTACGGGCGTGTGATGAATAAAGAGACTGCAGGGTTGTTGTCTTAGCTCATTCCTCTCTTTTATTTATGAGCTCTAGCCCAGCTCAGATGTTTGTTACGATTCACCAAGAGGATCCAACAGCACTTATGGAGTCTAAATGACTCTAATTAATCTCAGCCCAGCGGTGGCATCCACTCTCTCCAGAGCAGAGGCTGGTTACAACAGGAGATGCACCAACAGCAGGAGATGGAGCTGCTTCTAAAGCAGGAAAATTCATCAAGAATTTCTCCCTGGAGGGACTGCCCAGGGAGGTTTGGAGCYCCCAYCCCTGGAGGTGTSCAGGGAATGACKGGACCTGGCACTCAGTGCTGTGACAAGGTGGGGTCAAGGCTGGACTCGCTGATCCTTGAGGTCTTTTCCAACCTCAATAATTCCATGATTYTGCATGAAGGTGACRCTCCTGACAAGAGAAAAGCAGGAGCCAGCTGAGAACGAGACAATTTCTCCATCCTTTAACCGACCACAGCCGCGCCAGGCWAACAAATGCTGAAGCTGGGTCAAGTAATTATTGCAGGTTCAGAGCTGTGCAGCTCTCGGGGCAGTGACAAGTGTGACAGTYGTAAATAAAACACAGCCAGAGCGTGAGCAGCGCTCGCTGCAGCGCCAAGCAGAAAACAGCTCAATGTTTATGACCAAGGGTTGCTTCCAAAGGCACTGGCTGCTTTCCTCTTCCTGCCCCTTTCTGTGATCAGCGGGATCACTCCAGCAGAAACGGCAATCCTGGACCTGCCAGCGTGAAAAATGGCCACGGGAAACGAGAGGCAAACAAGGAATGATGGTTTTGCTTCGGCAAAAGGGCAGCTCGAGGAGGGAGAGCAGGGGAAAAAAAATGACCAGCTCTGAGCAGAGCAACCAACAGGGAGCAAATGAGGAATGTGCAGCGGAGTTCAGGGGAAGCCACGGTCAATACGGAGCCAGCAGGAGCCTGAGGCAGCACAAAGGGAAGAACAAAGCACACCGGAGTGGAAAAGAGAAGCACTCAGAAAATCCTTTTCTCCTTATCACCTGTCCTCCCTTCTCAGGCTGAGAAATGGTGGTGCTGTCTTTGCACAGCCTGGYTCTTGGGTATTTCCCCTGTCTGTATATCCGTGTGGGAGATTGGAATTGAACCTGTTTACTGAATCCCAGGAACTGCACGGACCTGATGGAGTGGGAAGGAGCCCCTCAGTGCATCCCAACAAGTAGGGGACACACAGCCCCAGGGTGACCCCCAGCATTTTTGCCACCTCCCCACCATAGAAACAACTGCCATGGGTAGGGACACCTTCCACTGTCCCAGGGTGCTCCCAAACCCTGTTTAACCTGGCCTTGGACACCTCCAGGGATCCAGGGGCAGCCACAGCTTCTCTGGGCACCCTGTGCCAGGGCCTCCCCACCCTCACAGCCAAGAATTTCTCCCTAAAATCTGCTCTGAATCTCCTGTCTTTTAGTTTAAAACCATTCCCTGTGTCCTGCCCCTCCATCCCTTGTCCCAAGTCCCTCTCCAGCTCTCCTGGAGCCTCTTTAAGCCCTGGAAAGGGCTCTGAGCTCTCCCTGGAACCTTCCCTTCCCCAGGTGAGCACCCCCCAGCCTGGCTCAGAGCAGAGGAGCTCCAGCCCCTGGAGCATTTCCATGGCTCCTCTGGACTCATTCCAGCAGCTCCACATCCTGCTGATGTGGGGTGCCACAGCTGGACGCAGCCCAAAGCCATCACGGGAGGCACCTGCACCAGCGGGCAGCCCCAAACACCCGCAAAGAGAGAGAGAAATAGGAGATAACACAGAGTCATTCCAAGCAATCCTATTATTCTGTTGGCTGAACAGGACCCGCTGTGCCGCTCCGTTGCCGGGAGAGCTCAGGACCTCAGCCGACCTTCAGAGCCAGCGGGGTTGAGAAGCAAAGCCGCGGGAGCTCCTCGGAGCCTCCCTCCCCGCTCTCCAGTGGCGGAGCGTGTCCCCACGGGGGCGTCCCAGGCTCAGGGACCGCGTCCCGCTCCCCACGCAGGGCATCACCGCAGCAGCATCCTCCGCTGCGCTCCATGGAAAGCCGTGGCATTATTGAGCGTGCTGCGTTCATCGGACACATGGGGCTACTCTAATTACCGCTACAGCCTCACGATCGCATCCCTCAGCAGCTCCCTTGCCACCAGCACTCCCAAAGTCACCTTGTGCGGTCAGAGGGGAACCCGCAGGAGSGCCCCTGGATCCCGGAGGCGGGATGCTGCGGGCACCGCGGGCTGTCCGCGGGGCGGGCGGGAAGCGCGGGGCTGTAGGGCGAGAAGCCCGGGGCTGTAGGGACGCTTCCCGAGAGCCGGGGAAGGAAAGAGGAGCGGGAAGAGGCGCGGGAAGAGGCGCAGAGGGGCCGGGACCGGCGCTCGCCCCGCACCGA